TATGTAAACAAAAATTCCGAAAATTAATCAGCAAATATAATTATGATATAAATAATTATATTTGTTTACTCAATAAAATGAATTTTCATTAATTATCTGATTTATAATATTGACGATATATATTTAATATTTAATAAGTTTTCAATGGAATATTTTATAAAATAATTTATTTAAAATTGTTAATTAATAATTTTTAAATATTTAATAACTTAATACATGTGTAGTACAATAAAATAAAATATGTAAAATCTTTTGTAATCGTATAAAATTTTAAAATTTCAAGTAGTTTTGAATTATTTTCGATTTAAAAAAAAAATTAATTTTATATTAACATTTTGAATTATATTAAATATTTTAACACTAAATTTAATGTAACTTTAAATTGATGTTATTTGTTTAAAATATTTTTATGCATTTTTTCTCGAATTTATATTATAAATTTGATATGTTTAAAATTAATTCAACAAATTTTCTGCTTCGTAAAATTCCTATCGAGTGAAAACGAATGGACAGAAAAGTAATCCTAGAATATACACGGATAAAGAGAAAAATCAACTGGGATTTATCTAGTCTAAAATTTATCAGAATGTCGATACATTCTGTCACTACAATTTATATCTTTTATATTAGAAAATTTTCTTTCATAAAATATAATCAGTTTTACATTCAGTTATTGTTTATAGAAACTTGTAATATATTTCATTGTGATGTTTCGTATAAACAAATCTAAATCCTAAACAAGTTCCCAATTTATTATTAAGGAACACTAAAAGAGAAACTATAAAACACTTGTAAATCTTTATATGTAGAGTAAAATTAATAAATCAGTATTAAAAATTTGTACTGACGAATTGCGCGAAAAGATAGTCGAGAAAGAGTGAAGCATTGCATTTTCATATGCTTCAGAAAATTACAACTAATATATTATGTATAGCAGTTTACAGGAAATTTCTTAGCGATAAATGAGGAACATAAGTACCTATAAACAATAACACCTCTACTATATATCACAGATATTTATTGCGGCCATATCTCTCGGCAGTTATGTCACTCCTTCTGTGAAGATGGTTGGCCTCTATAACTCGTTCAAGAGACTAGAAAAATCAATGATTTGTTTAGTAAACCTAACTACTGTTCAGACCACCGAGAGAGCTGCTTGGAAGACGGTTTTGTTTATTTTTGCTTTTTGTAGATAAGTGTCAGGTTTGGTCCCCTTCACTTCTATCGTGTACCTCTAGGGATCCAGTGATGTAGAGGACTATCTTAAACTAGTAGTGTGCGAGAGACAGACAAATGTTGCCAGAAAAGAAATTACACCAGTGTTGGCTTATTTCCAAGCACGAAAGCAGACAATGGAAGAGATGGTACCATACTGTCTGGAGTCACTGACTTTCATTTCTAGAACAGATTTCTGCTATTAATATCGTATTACTCAGCTGAGTGTTAGGAAAAAATCCCCCATGCACTGTTCATGACTTATTGTTTTGTATTACTTTTGATTTTTAGAATTTTTTGTCAATAGGAAGAGCTTATATTAAACGAATTGTCTGTATTTATCTCTTCATATTTATTTGGTAACGAAGTTTTGAAACCTTACTTCAAAACGTGTAAAGAAAAAAAATATAGTAACGGCTTATACTTTGGTTAGTTTTTGAATTATTTACTATCTTTGTTATCTTCCCTAGAGCTATTTTTCTTTTATAAAAACATTTCTGCTTTCAACCAAACAATCTGACAGAATTTGAACACATTTTTCATTTTATATATAAATTGCAATCATACTTAATTGAACGTTTGATAAATATAACTAACAATAAGTTATGTTGTTATAGCAAACTTTTATAACTTATTTTTTAGATAATACTGTATAAAGTTTTTTATTAAATAACAACTAGAAATTTTAAACAATATATAATATTTGGATAGTAGAATCTCTCTGTTAAACAAATAAAACGAATAATTTTTTTACTTACTATAGTAATCTTAATTAACTTTTTAATTAAAAATTTTTTTATTATTTGATCATTATCCTTCTGAAGTAATTCCTTTTAGTATTGGAATTTTATTAAGAATGATATATGAAATGCATTTAATCGTTTATTTCTGAGGATAATTAACTACAGAGAATACAGATACAAGTTAAAGTAGTAATTGAGATTGATGTGATTTGAAATAACAACATTAGAGTCCTTCAACAACTTCAAACACAATCAAACTGGTCAAACAATCATTTTACAGCTCTGCAGTTGCAAAAGCAGATCAATACAAAGTCGAATCGACAAAGAAATCATATTTGGAGAAAATGGCCAGAGCAGATTTGACAGTTTTTCAACCAGCATTCTTGTTACTGTCTTCTCTCGGAAGTTGATAAAAGAAGGCGGATCTGGTAATGAGAAGAAGCTACGGACAGTCAAGTGATTGAACGATTGTCTCCGGGGATGTCCAGTAATCGGTGCCTCATTAAACCAGAGGAAAGCTCACTAAAGTGAAGACGGGAGGATGAAGTTGTCCGAGATTCTACTACCACCATTTAACACTCACTTTCCTTTCAAAGTCACATTCTAATTCTGTCACCTTAAAGATAATCCTGTGTGGTAGATGTACTGATCCTCTTAACGTGACAGGGTTATATGTCAGTTAGACATCAAGACATGCTCACTAACCGTTTGATAATAGCCTTCGATCGTTAAGGTGTGATTGTGGCTAGGGTGTTGTAAAAGAAGATGCTATTCACTTGTTCTTAGCTTTTTTACCTTAAATTCGATTTACTAAAATTGGCTACGATATAATTCATGCGAATGTTTATTATTTATATAAAGTTTATTGATAAGATAAATAAATAAATAAATAAATGTATATACATAATATAAAGTTGTTTTTTATTTCATCAAATTTTGGAATTTAATGAGATGATCGGATTAATCGCTTTTAATAAACTTTAAAAAATTTCGAGTGAAAAAGTGGAGGAGAAGATGCACAGAAAAGGAAAAGAAAAAACAATGGACGAGCTAAAATCAATTTTCATTGACAATTAAGAGACATTAATTATTCATGTCGAAAATGATCTCGTCTTTATGGATTTCGGAATTGAACCCTTTTCCGAAAGTCGTAACGAGTTCGTCGTTTATATAATTTACATTCTATTCATTAATTCTGCTTCTAGTAAACTCTTCTCTTTCGTTTATTTCATAGCCAAAGGTAATTTCGGGAGGATAACAAATAAAATATTTTTAACTTTGTCGTATATAAAGATAAGTATTTTATTTCTCTCAGATATATCAAATAAATAACAAACTTTAAACATAGTTATACTCTCGAGGGATTTAAATCTTTCTAGATTTCTTGGGCAAACAAAGATAATAAATATGCTTAAAATATTCTCCATGCTAGACAAAGACACGTTCTAAGTAAATAAAAAGCAACAGAAGCGTTTTCCTTCAGTGACAATAGGATCTCGTGAGAATACCAGAGAACGAGATAGGGAGATACTGATTTTCTCGACGACTACTCACGACGTAAGCTCCTTCCTTCATTACTTCAATTCCAAGCAGCGAGGTGTCCGTCCTCTTGAATAGAACTACTGAGCGGATAAGGATTTGGTGTTCCTTAATGGGTCGTCCAATTTCTTTGTTGCCACACTGGTTTAATGAACAAATAGACTACATTAGTTTCTTAGTGTCCTAACAAGACTATGTCTTTTGTTCTTGTTAATAATTGCCCGCTGTTTCTTTAATAATTGTTCCCTAATTATTCTCTTGCACAATAAGAAAGTCTGACATGGATTGGACAATTCTTAAATTTTCCGTTTCTACAAGTTTTAATTTTCTTTTTTTTTCCTCCTCCCTCCCGCTCTCTTTTCGNCAATATAACTACTTCTAAATTCCATTTGTTAATATTTTTATACATACGAAACAAATTTTAATTAATTGTTAAAACAGAAATTAAGTTGGCTAATAGCGTAACTGCTACTTATAACAATAATTAAAATAGAAATCAATGAGAGAAACATTTACCCTCGCTGTTATTCAGATACCAATAGTCTAAATATTGAATGTAAATCAATAGTTACTCATACTACAGTAAAGCCAAGCAGGAAAAGTTATTCTGCTTGAGTTATCAGTGATTATATTTGGATAATTCTTGGCAATGTCACATGTTTAATGTGTCCCAGAAGAGCAAGGACAATGAAGCGTCAACAAATTACTTGTTAGTTCTTTCATGTTGTGATCAGAACAGAAAGACGAACAGAGTTCTACCGATCAGCTTTGTTTACAGAATAGCTAGTCCACTTCCTAATTGGCAGACAGTTGATGAAAGGTGTCATGTTTGTATTGTTGTAAAGTATTACATTTAACAATCACAAAAGAGAGTAAAGATTAAAAAGAAATTAGTTTATCTTGCACCGATTTTAACCGTTAATTAAGAATTGACTAACAAATTTTAATTTTCACCATTCTTTTATTTTAACGTGTATTAATTTTCTACGTTTATCGTTTCATTTAAATTCTCTAATTATATTTATAAATATTAATATTTTAATAAAGAAAGCAATTAAATGATTATGCTATTTTTTATATCTGATATGATAATATTTTGCAATAAGGAGTAAAATTAGGTCTAATATCAAAGTTGTTATTATAAGAAGAAAACTGTCAACTAGGGTGTGGTTTTTGAAGTTCAGTATTTGCCTACTAGACAAATTGTGGAGAGAGTCGTGTGGATGAAAGAAATTCATACTTGATTTATTGACCTGAAAAGATATTTTTCATCATTCGAAGATTATTCTACCGAGAATTATGGTGTTACAGGTAATGTATATATTCGATTTTAACGATTTCTTTGAATATTAACGCTATTCCAGAAATGCCAAAAATACTCTCTACTTTTATATAAAAAATGTTAAAAATGCCGAGAGTTTTTGTACAAATCTGCATAATGGTTTCAAATATTTTGGATATTTTTATGAAAAATGTTTAAAAAATGAACAACATTAAAAAAATGTTTCGACCAAGTGAAAATTACGCTTATAGCAAAATCTCTAATTTAATTAGTACATTTGTAAATTGACATTACTTTGATTAAATTGTTTAAATAATTAAACAGAATTTATTCGTCTCTTATAGAATCAAAGTAAAGCCAATACGATAAAAGTTACGTTTATATTGCTGATGATTAATGATACGAAAGTGCAAATTTACTTTTTCTGTAACGATTCTTGGAGAACTTTCAAGAATTTTACGAATGAACATTTCTTTTAAAATTTAATTTCTTTATTCTATTATGCTACTTTATGGCTTCGGTATATACTATTACAAAGTATTGCATTTTATTAGCAGAACGGCTGTAAGGGAGAAATGGTGTAAACAGAAAGATTTTTCTAACTTTAATTTTTCGTAAATAAGTTAATTTTAAAGAAAAATTAATTTAATAAATAATTACGTATAATCTAGTTAGAATTTACATTACAAGTACAGCTGATTATATTCCAAAGATTTAAAGTTAACGAGGCTGCTGAATTTTCATTAAGTTTCTCCGGGAAAAAATTGATTAAGCGTTAAAAAAATGTCATTATCGTTCTTGATAATTATTTAAAGATATGAAAGCCTCTTCGGATGAATCGTGTAACAAAACCTTGTTAAAAACTTATTTCACCAAAAGCCTAGAGCTTGAAAGTCAAAGTTCTTGGTTGGTTAACGTACATTTTAAGCAGGGCATGTTATCGATTTTTCCAATACTAGGAGGTAACGGCAGAAAAATACTCCCGACCCCATCAAGACGTGGAAGTGTTGCTATTAAAGTGGCTTCCCATCATCCAACAGTAATGCTTCCTTCGGAAGGACAATGGTCAGCCTAGCGTAAAGTACTGTTTGCTCTGTTGATCACAGTTGAAAGTAACCAACGAGAAAACTAGCCACGGTAAAATCTCTTATTTAACGTTCGTGTAATAAAATGTGCACTTTAAAAGTGTTCCTAGTAATTATCAACAAGATTGCGCCAAGTTTATACTCTCTTTAGTACATCAGAGGTGATTATAATAAACGTTATTATATCTAGAACTTAGAATGTTATTTCTTTTATACTGGTATATTTCATCACAAAATTAATATAAAATTAAAATTATTCCGTCGACGTTTTTTAAAAATTCCATTTATCAAAAATAAAATATTCTTTATGCTAGAAATTGCATTATTTCCGACACATTAAACGTCCAGAGAATAATTTGAATGGAAATGCCAAAAAGAATCCAGTCTTCTCGGCTGACTTTAAAAACAGTCGAGAATATGTTTTCTTCGGCTTTAACACTTACAAATGCAAAAAGGTTTTAAGGTGGCAAGCGGCCAAACATCAGGTAGTATGGTAGAGATGCTGCATGGCCTTCACATTGCTAAAAGCGTTTCACCATATGGAACTTTTCTCAGTGAATTCTTTAGTCGTTCTGTTTGGAGCTGTCATTGCATTGACCTAGTCAAGGAGCTTTAGGTTAGCTAAAAGCTAGAGGAGGAGGCATATATAATTTTATGTCTTGAAGCATGGAAGACATTAAAGTGTCATCTCCCAAGACGTTGAATTGTTTTTGGATCTCGCACCGAAGAGTAAAATAAATGAAAAGTACTCTGCGAGATAGAAAGAAATCAAAGTCTCTAGAGAAGCACTAAAAAATCCTTTTCTTGTTTCGATACAAAAGAAAAAACCTTAGTGCAACAACTAAAACGTTCTGGCTAGTAAAAATATACTATTATAATATTAAAGAATAGTTTTATTTAAGAAATTTATTAAAATAAAATCCTTTCGAACTTTTTAAGTGATCGATCGACACTGAGCATACGTTTTTATCTATTTATTAATAGCAGTTGAATGATATTTATTGGACACAGAAAACATTCTCGACTATTTTATATAAGCTATATTTCACCACAAATAATATAATATAGATATAGCAATATTAGAAAAAATATATCATTTCGACTTCAACGGGTTATACGACGATATGATATGCGCTTGTAAATCAGATGGTTTGAAACTTCTAGCTATCAAAACAATGGACATGTTGACCAGAAAACAAGACATCTGGTGATTTAGACTAGGACAGCTCCTATCTTGTGACAATGCAGCAATTGCGCATGCGTCGGCTTTCAGCGCTGAGTTTGTGAATGTTCTGTGGTCGAACGTGGAGTACAGTCGTGTGTCCAGCGCTGTACTCCACAGCTCCTCTTCAAACCATGTGCGGGCTTCTTTCCAATACTGTAGACTAGGACACTGTCTTATGACTCGGATAACTGTCGACGATACAAGACAATTGATCGGTGTTCGGCCAGTATAAACCAGACTTTTTGTGATAAATAACTCAAACTAATGATCAAAGAACATGCTTCCTTATATTTCTTTGATATTTTCAAATATTTTCATCAAAACGCCTAGGTGATGAGACTTAATACAACTTTTTGAAATGTTATTTATTTCAAGAACAAAGTTTTCCTTTTGTATATTATTTATTGTTAGAGGTAAGTGAAATTTTTAGTGTTAAAAACTTTTAAAGTTAAGCTTCGAGACAGAAATTGTTTAGTAATAAAATATTTATTAGGTCTGCTTAGCTTCGAGTTACTCTTAAAAATTTTAACTGTTTACTCTTTTAATATTTTATTAAATTTGGTAAATAGTGGATACTGGATCTCTTAAATTTTTTAAAAATTGTTCATTAATAGTCGAGAATAGTTAGCCAATTTTACAATAGGAGTCATACATTTTCGAGTTTAAGTTATAAATCATTGAGTATTGTATCTCGTTGATGTGTTTCAGTTGTCAGCTTACTTCAGGATCGAAGAGGACCATTTTTCATGTACGAACCTCCAAATCATGTTGAGTTTTCCAACACGACGGGCACAGTGATACCATGTTCAGCTAGGGCTACTCCTACGGCCAGCATCAAGTGGACTATGGTTGACGGGTCTCCTGTAACTGATATCCCTGGACTAAGACATCTACGTCCTGATGGATCATTGGTATTTCCACCATTTCGTGCGGAAGATTTTAGACAAGATGTCCACGCCGCCATTTATAGATGCGTAGCAACGAATCCTATAGGGACTATTGGCAGCCGAGATGTAAAAGTCCGAGGAGGTAATGTTTCCATTAGAAGAAAGTAACTTTTCTAAACTATTATCTACTTACGTAAATGTAACTTAGATCATGACTCCATTATGAATATATCGCTCTTCCTAACTACTTTGATATTCGTATCAGTAAAAATGCGAAATTTATTCTCCGAGGGGTTATTTCGGTCTAAAAGTGGAAAAAAGAAATATATACTCGTGTACGGAATATTTAAATAGAAACCATTTTAAAATATACTATCGTGAAAAATTTTCACTAAAATCATCTTTAAAATGCGTATTAATTTTCATTTTAATGTAATATTTTTTTCTAAATATGATTATTATGCACTACAGTGCATTTATTTTAGGGACAATAAATATTGCTTTTCGTATCATCACTTGTAATTTTAAGCGAAACGAAATAATACTACTGCAATATTTACCCCATAAAACGCTAAGAATGCAAAGTATAAAGAGTTGTAATTTATATTAAAAATAATAAAATACTAAGACATAAATGAGATTATTAAACAATTATTATTTAGTAAATTTTTCTATCGATCTTTAACAGATACTGAATGAGCTCAGTTACTAGTATTTTTAAACTTAACTTTCTTTAAATTTATAGTTTATAATAATACATAACAACAATTAAAATGAAAAAAAAGTTTTAAATAGAAGTGAATAATTTATAACATAGAAAATATTTTAAAAATATATATATTTTTTTATATAAAATATTATTTTAACGCCATAAGAGACTCAAATTTAATCATCAATTAATATTTAATTTATGTATAATCGAAAACGTAGGTTAAATAAATATAATTTAAGATTTTACTATTAAATAATAATATATTTAAGTATTAGAAGCATATTTCTGTAAATCTATTTATAAACTAGGCCTGTATAAACGATAAAATTATATATTTTTAAATTAAAATTTTTGTATATTTTATTCGTTAATTAAGATTAAAGTTTACTGACAAATACTAATGTAAGATGACGTAAACATGTTTTCTATATACGAATATAAATTATATGATAATCTTATACAGTATATTTAATTTATTAAGCAACTTTTATGAATACTTTAAACATGATTAAAATTTTATTATTTAATTCTGTATATTTATTTTATATATTCTGTGTTCTATTATTAACATTTATTCATCTATGCCAATTTTCTTTGAGATTATTATTATAATTATTATTATTTTCTTTCATTTTTGGAAATGATCCATGCTAATATCCATTTTATTATTTTGGTGCATTGCCATATCTTTTACTTTCAAACATCAATAGAGATTCATCTCTTTTGAGTCTTCTTTTTTCTCTATCTTCGCTTCCAACTTTATCATTTTCTTCCTGTTATATAGGTCTAGTTGCTTTTCAACTGCTCAAGACATGCTCTTATAATCTCCTTTCCATTTTCTCTTTGTTCGGCCTGAACAATATATAAATTTACAAAAATTTCCTATTTTTCTCGTATGTATCAATACAGTACGTTATGTTTGACTGATCGGCATTAAGGCGTTAAATTAGATCAGAAATATCTCCTCAGTTATCTTCAATTACCAAATTTTCAAAACTCTTTCTACTTGAAATTTATTATTTTTTAAGTTACTTTTATTAGTGTTTTATTATAAAATATTGACGCTTAAAAATTATAAAAAAAAGTTTTCTGATATTTTTTATAAACGATTTTTTAATTATTTAAAATTTTATTATTTTAGATATAATTTTGTAATATTCATTAAATCAATTTTCATATACTAAGAGGTTTCATAATAGCTACAGACAATTTATAATTTAATAAATTCTCGATTTTTGTTTTCTGAAAAGATTATTCTTCCTATTAATTTCTTTCCAAAATGTTTTTCCTCCACACAGAAATCTCCTTTCATGTAGAAATCTTCGAAATAACATGTAATTTCCAATGCTTTTTAAATTTAAAATAATTGAATATAAAAATTGAAAATCCATTAATTTGAATAAAATCACTCTGTGCTCTTTATTTTTCATGTTACAAATAAGTACATTTTTGCTTCCATATGTAGATTTGTGCACCTAAATATTAATTAATAATTTTTAAATTAATTAATAACATATTACATCAGAAAATTATAACATAATAACACGTATATAACAGAAAATTCAGAACTTATAAATGGAATTTGATTATTAACTTCGATTCAAATGTCGAAATTTCCGCTTAGTCATCAAGATATATTAAATATCTTTTCAATTTGTTCGTTTAATAAATTGCTCACATTTAATGTTATTTTTTTAGAATAATCTGCTACCAAATTATAAAGCTCTTACACTTAAAAACATCTCTATTCACTCAACATATATTTGATAATTTTCATACGACGTTTTAAATTTTTAAAATAATTTATTCCATTTCTAAAAATAATAGAAAGTATTTTAATATTTATTCACTATGTAAAATGACCTATAAAAATTAAAATCAGATTTCAACATTTCTACACCATCATTTTAAAATTTACTTCTTAGTTTAGTAATAATCATTAATCAGCCTTTGCTGTAATTTATTGCTTCTAATTTTCAAGCCAGCTTCCGTTATGAAAAGTAAATAAAATTGATAATATCGAAGAAGTGAATTAGCATTCAGAAAAGCACTGTCAATATTCCTGATGAATGCTAATTTAACACTCGAATATGTCATCCTGTCTTTACATCAATCATGTACAACCGGCCATTGTGCTCAATATGCCATAACTAAAGCCAAATGTATCTGCAGTAATGCATTTTTCACCGTTTATTGTAATTCAGTTAACGTGGCCAACAAACGTCATAGATTTCTTTTTTCTTATAAATCATTATTAATTAGAAGATCTTCAGGAGTTACAATAGAAAATAATTATTGCTTTCACATTTATTTTAAGAGATTATTTAAGTAGTTTGAAGCTTACCTTTTTCTTGTACAAATTGAAAATAATACGAATTTTCTATGCAAATCGTCAGATGTTATCATTATCGGTCAAATTTCTGAAAGATATTTCAAGATATTGAAATTTTCTAGATATTTTTTGACTAGTTTAGTCGGTCATGACGCCAATCATTGACTCAAGTTTCAATTCTGGTTTTGTCACCTGATACCAATCTGTTAGTAGTGGCATCTGATTATTAAAGGCAGAAGAATCCAACGTTTCAAACACTCTCATTTCACATACAATGAATTTCAAGAAACTGCTATGTCATTTGTCATTCTATAGTATCTCGTTCTGGTTATGCCATTATTTCGTATAATAAAAAGCTAACAATAATATATAAAAAACAAATTCTATATTCTTTTTGCTGCTTAGATATTTATATTATAGGCACTGTCATGTTTCAAAATCTTCGAAATTTGTAGCTATCTATCCCTAATGTGTATGCATTTGTATGCGGTTAGAATATAAATTTTGCTATAAATTTTGTTATAACTTAAAAGTATAAGCTAACAAATTTCAGTGAGAGATTGTGCAGAATCTCACTGGACCATCAAAATTCTCTAGGGTTGTTTCGAACAGTGGTTGTATACTCTGTCATTATCAAACAGAAGAGAGAATATATTAGATGATAATTTGATGCTAATATGAAAACTCTAGTGTATATACATAATATATTATTTATAACTCGATAATAATACAATTAAGTGAATCTGGGAACCAGAAATTCGAGATAGAACTAAAAAGAAGAGAAGAGATAAACTCAACTGGAACATTACGAAGCATAAACGTACAGAAAATAAATTATGCTATAATAATATGGTTACATATATGCTTGAAATTAAGATTTATTAATTTTATATGATTTAATGAAAATTATATACTGCATTAAAGGGTCGATTTGTTTATCGTCATCATTTGTAAATATAAGATTTGTGCTCTTGTTACGGTTGTTTATACAATAGTTTATAGAGTGATCAAAAAGTCACTGTTTATTTATATTACAATATAGGTGCACGACACCTTATATTACGGTATTATTATTTATACTGTATGATATTTCATTTTAAAGGGATTAAATCCTATATATTCTATCGCAGAAACAAAACTATTTATGTAAATAATCAGCCATTTGAAGATTAAAAATGTAAATATTTAAATAAAATAACCATAAAATATTGAAGTTAACATACTCAAGAAAATTCGTAAAAGTATGTTATTTTATAAAATATAAAATAGAATAAATCTTTATTTTGCTATTTTTTATTTTATAAAATATTCAAAAAAAACTCATTAAGTTTAAGCGAAATAAGAGTAACTTCAATACGAAATTTTAGTTTCTTTCAAGGAGAAAAAATAATAAAAAAAATAATAATAAATTTTGTAAAAAATAACAAAAAAAAACAAATTTATTATAAAACTAGAAAATGCGTGTAATAGAATCAAGTTTCCTGTTTATTACAATAACATTTTTATTTATTTTTTAATATAATAAAATATAATTTAAATTTTTTTTAATTTATACTTTTTAGCAACTGTACAAAACATTATCTTGAAAATATAATCTCATAGGATTTATTAATTTTGTAAAGAACTTTACTAACTTCAAAGTTCAAGGGAACCAACTATTTTATATATAAATATCATGAAGTTTACATTAGTAGTGTAATGAATTTCTTTAAGTTAAAAAAATATTTATATTAATTGTATAATAATTTATGAATGAGTCGACATTATTAGTAAATAGTGTAATTTAAATTAATGAATTTAGGATAGAAATTTATTTCTACGCTCTACCATTATTTTTATAATATATAAACGAATTAATTTATGTGACAGTTATTTTATTAAAGCTAAGAAATTCGATCGAATTCTAAGTAAACTTAACTTCTCTACTTTATAAACATTCGATTTTCTAAAAATCAATTAATGTACAGTACTTTTTAACTTAATTAAAATATATTTAAAATATAAAATATTTACTTTGCGTGTTTTGTAAATAAATAAAAATGCGTCCAAACTTTTATTTAAAAAAAAATAAAATAATAAAAAAATATTCCTACAAAAT